TTGAGGGAATCACTCAACTGCGTCACAAGACAAGCCCTCACATGGAATCCTGAAGTTGGAGGGAGAAGAGGAAGACCATAGAACACATTATGCCGAGAAATGGAGACAGACATGAGAAGAATGAACAACAATTGGATAGAACTAGAAAGGAAGGTGGATGACAGAGTGGGCTGGACAATGCTGGTCGGCGGCCTATGCTCCATTGGGAGTAACAGGCTTAAGTAAGTAAGTAGGTGTAAATGAATATGTAATACAGTATTTATCGATTTTTAAAATTTGTTTATTATTCCAGGCTATTTAAATCGTTTCAAAAAAAGAATCAATTTTGAAGATTACAATCGAATGGATAAGTGAAAGTTTGTTGTGACAAAAAAGTACCAATTTTTCAGCTTAGGAATTAGATCAATAAAGAAAAAAAATGTCTTTTTAAGATGAGAAATTTACTCACTAGACCGACTGTTAAAATACTTTTTATTAATGTATTTAGATGATCGAGAATTTTAGCTTATCAGTTAATGCTGTGCTTCAAAAGCGAAACGTACTGAGTCCGAGTCTCAGTGCGGGCGTCAAAACGAATGAAAACATATCTAACAGATGAGTTGTAAATGAGATGAAATGCCTGTCTCTGATTCCATTGCTAGCTAATTTCAACTCCACGGATGTTGCTCCTGGCTTTATGGAAATATTGTGACAATCCACACATGATGAATAAATGCTAATCAATTTCAGTCTGTGACATCAACAATGTGAAAATTCGAACAACTCTTCAAAATAAATATCGATTAGATGATATGTAGATTTTGAAAAAGAATAGTAAATTATTATCAACATTCAGTCCTGGAATAGTTTGTCAATTCTGATCATGTAGCCATCATCAAAATTACCTTTTAACGTCATACACATAAGCATAATTCACAAGAATTGGAAATCAAAAGGTTGTTTACTGGAAAGGATTTGACAGTTCAAAATCTGATTTTACTACGATCCTAAACCTGTAGTAATTTTAAGACTTCTTAATCAAATGCTTCACCATACATTCATTAAATAAAGATCATTCGAAAAAAACTAAGTATCCAAAATTGAGAAAAACAAGTTACGTAAAGAAACTTAATAGTTGCTTCCATAGTTTAGAATTTCTTTTTATTAAGATAAAGTCTCATAACATGCTTGTGATTAAAGCACAATGAAGACTAGATTTTCACTTTTAAATGTTAAAGAGATAGGAATGTATAATTTATATAGCAGCTAAATCTAAGATGAATATTGAATTAGAAATTTCCACCTACTGTACAGTTATATCTTGATTATAAAGTTACGTAATACGGCATATATTGGTTAGATCGCAGTCGTTTTAAACTTTTTACTAATCTAATAAAAGGAACTATAAATTTTGGACTTTCATTCAAGTTTGATCATAGAGATTAAATACTGAAATAGTAGGTAAAGTGTAAAGAAAAAAATAATGTAATGCATTGAATGTAAATACAGGAAACTGAACAGTCATGAAATGAAACAAGAGAGATAAGTCACCATTAAAACGGCCTGTCGAACGTATATATATATATATATATATATATATATATATATATATATATATATATACCTTTTTAATGATGGTTATGTTGAGATTTCATATAATCTGACAATAATTTTAGTATTAAGAAACTGGAGGTAGAAAGCAAAATGCTGTAGATTCAATTTAAGAAAATAAACATGATGTTGGTTACAGTCAAATTATAACCGGATTCAATAAATCAACTGATATTGACAGTACAATCAACAATGATAAATGTTAATATTTCAAAAGACAAAATGTCATTTAACTTATGTTTATTATTTTAAAAACGTTAAAAAATATTATGGACAGTTCTCTCACTAGAATAACGACAATTGATAAATTAATCTTTTTTCTTAGATGACACTTCAAGGTTAAATGAGTTCTTTATATCCATACTGAAACTCATTAATTATCTTCAAAAGTATATTCCTGTATCTCAATAGAGCTCACAGCATCAACGTTTATATATATATATATATATATATATATATATTGTGGCGAAAGATTTCATCCCATCCTCATGGCTTCGCATATTACAACCTCTAGTAGGACAATACTGTTCATCTCCCACCCTTATGAGATGTCCAAACAAATAACGAAAGTCAATTTTTGCACATTTAGTTCAAGCAGGACATACAGCGAACTGTAATTCGTATTTTCGTTAAAGATCTGTGTCAATAACAGTAATACTGCATGCGTTTTAAAGAGCTGAACAATTAATCACATGAATTAAAATCCGAAGCCCTAATAAAACAACTAACAATGAGAAATTATCCATACACTATATTATGAAAAAACAGGAATATGTCGGACTGTAATGAAAATAGCTACATTAAAAGAACATGAACGAGTTAGATAATCAATAGCGCAAAGTCATATTAGCCACTTGCTTGTGCAATAGGGTGAAGTTTTAAATGCACTTGGTATTTAAATAAAGCTAGAACAAATATTGATGCAGAATAATATGAATTCATTTTATTTCGTGGTTTCTCGTCAGCTGCTTGCAACCAATATCATTGATAACCTTTTGCCATTCCAATCCTACACATTCACTTATGTCAATTGATGCATTCTATTTATTGTCTCAACGCTAAAATTCTAATACACATTTGATTGTAAGCAGCTGTCGAAAAAGCACGAAATATAATGTATTCATATTATTCTGCATCAATATTTGTTCTGGCTTTATTCAAACTCACTTGGTACTGTTCGTTTGAATTTTCCCATTGAATTTTAACACCACAATTGATCAGTTCCTTGTTGGCATATGTGCATCCTGTGCGTATTGCCTCGATATTCTCTTAACTCACAGGTATTATAAGCAAAGTTGGATAGTGGCTGGAAGTGGAATTCAGGACGCACTTGAAGCGAAAGGTACTAAGTCCGAGTCTCAGAGTGAACATCAACTCTGAGATGTAATTACATCCAGCGTACAAGTCCCAAATAAGACGAAATACACGTCCTAGATTCCACTGCTATCCACTATCCACCATTGCTTAGAATGCTTCTGAATAAGGACTATATCGAGGCAATACACAAAGTATGCACATATGCCAATAAGAGACCGATCAATTGTGGTGCTAAAAATCAATGGGAAAATTCAAACGAACAGTGCCAAGTGAATTTAATCTTTATAATTATTCATTCTTATAAGAGCTATTAACGGTGAGTTAACTGTGATTTAGAGTTACTTTATTAAATAAAAGTTATTTGTTCGAGTGAAGAACAGGAGTGCACATCTATAACTACACTAGTGATTAAAACCGAAAACGTAAGTTCACATTGTGAGCGCTTAATCTTCAAATAACTGAGTAGTTATTCAATAGTTTACATTTCTGCTTTTAGTCACTATGCTATATTGATCGGTCACTATATATCTTCACTGGTGATATTTTAAGTAAACTCAGTATAGTTTTGCTCATATTGGTTTATTATAAAATCTACAATGTTTCTCACTAAGTTACGCATACGAAAAGAGACAGTTTATTCATCAGTTGAAATTAAGCATAATAGAACTATGGGTAGAAATGGAGTCACTTATTTGATGTGTCTAAATATCATTTAATGTTGGATGATATAGATTTTCCGGAGTAATTTCATAATTCGAAGTTTATTGTATCTGAATTTCACTTATTTAAATAAATATACTCCATATTTTTTTTTCAAAAAAACTACTTAAAATGTTCTTAGAAAATAGATGAAGGTTAATAATAATGTAAAGAGCGGTCACATATCATATACACATTTCATTGTCCAAATTATCTTATAGCCAAGAAGGAATTCCTTTTGATGAAGTACTCTAAATTATTTCAAATACAGAAACAGTTACAAGTGTATAAGTGTATCCGTCTTACAACTATAATAAATAATGAAATCATAGTTTCATAGTTTAATTTAATTCTTCGTTTTGTTTTCATTTTTCTTTGACTTTTTTTTTAAACATTTTCAAAGTCGGCAAAATGACGTAACTGAGAATTAAAAGAAAATGTGAAATTGCGATTAAGGAAATGATTAATGAAAATTTAATATTATTTTCTTCAGTAAGATAAGTAAAGACTTATTAGATAACTAAATTTTATATTTCTTTCAAATATTGGGTGTATATAGTTTTGTGTTATACCAACGCCTTCAATACCGTGCTGGAGCTTGTAAGAAAAAAGACTGAAATTCAGGCTATGAAATGGTTATATGAAGTAAAGAACAAATGTAATGGATAACAGCACGGTAGTTTATCATCCACATTGAGTCCAAAAACACATTCAACTCAGTGAAATGAAACATTAGCAGTAGATATCTTGATGTCGTTTTTCATTGCAATATTCATAAAATGTACGACAAACTATCGAAATGGACGAAAAATAACCTATTTGTACTCCTAATATATAGTTCAATAAATAATCAACGCGTATTAAAGAATATATATTGATTATATTATTTTTCTTTGGGTGATTCGTAGAAAAAACACTAACCATTATTTTTATGTAGTTCATTGCATCGCCCCATAATTGTGCCAAACCTATTTCTATGTAACGATAATATTAACAAGAATGTTTCTTTAAACAAGTCATAATATATAAAATTTACAACCCACTAGGAAGAGAAAAGCATTCATTTTTATTCACTTGTTTAAAGTAAGTATGGCACTTAAGGGCCGCTATAGAGAGGAAAAGATGAATTCACCTCGATGATGATCTCTTAATATTTTAATATGTTTAGTTATACTGAATCATGGAAAGGAATAAAGTGTTTCAGTAATTAGTTGTTAATTGGTGAACTGCATTCAATAATCTGTATATAGTAGATAGGTCAGCTCATTAAAAATAGTTACACTTGACTATAATGAAGTTATCGTAGGAATTAAATGACTAGTATACATTCTTTAAGGTTTATCAAGATAAAAATTACTGTTTAATCAATCAATTAATTAAGGGTTTGACCTTACCTGGAACTATATCTCCAAATCCAATTGTTGATAATGTAATAAAACAAAAATATGACCATTTTAGATAATCTGGATCTTGCCATATAGAAAATACAATAGCTCCAATAAGTATGTAAGTTGTCATAATGACTAGTGATAAACTTATTGGTACAGTTACTTTGGATACGTCCTCTTCTGCAGAAAAGCCATCACGATAAGAAAAAAATGATAAATCTTCCGATTTTCTACTACCACGTTGGGAGTAATAGCTTAACTGTACAACTATTTCGCTATCTAAATCACCACGTGATGAGGCTAATGAAAGACGCGATCTACCCAGTTGTTCAGGTTTTATGTCGCGTGAAAGATCTTCACATGTTGCAAATGGATTGGGAATTACTGTGGATTGCAAGAGTCTTTGAAATGAATCAGGTTGTAAACTATGATATTCAGGAAGGAAAGACATCGTAGAACATTGATTAGGTTGTGAGTAATGAAAGGAATTGGATAAAAGATTGGGTGAAGTGGCTGTTGGAAAATAGCTTAAATTTTGATTCAGTTTAGGTGGGATTTTGGTTCTATTTGCAATAGTATTTGGAATCTGTGAAGTTTGTCTTTGTTGGAGTGAATTGTGTATTGGTAGACTTGATAAGCCTGATTTTGAAACAGTGAGTTTATTCATAGGTATTTGATGACACGACATATGTATAGCTGCAGGATTAGGTCTAATTGAGTTTGGTAATGTTTCGAAATCATAAAGCTTTTCTGTATCTGATGTAGAAATCGAATGTGTTAATAATTTATGAAAAGGTTTAGATGATGAGCATTCCACTTTGAGTGGTGATTGTGGATGTGAACTTAAGATAGCATTTTTATTGAGCATTGCACAATACTTTGGTGTAGCATTTTTTGGTTCAGTCATTGTTTGCACTAAGGATAGGTCATTTTGAGCAGAATGTTCAAGATTGATGTGTGATTTTGAGTTATGAGTTTTACAGCGGTTTTGATTACATTTTATTTTACTCATAGAACTTTTAGTTGAACATTTTTTATTCATATGAGATATCGGCTCTGAGACATTCATATTTACTATCACAGTTGTACCATCAGTTGTTGTTGTTGTGTTACAGTCCTTTGCATTTTCAATATTCTTTAAACTACATATATCATCATAATTCTCGTCTATTGATCGTACTTCTAAATCAATATCAATATCTTTCCAGCATAATAAACGTATTCTTCCATTATTATAATCTTCCATACCAGGCCCACTGAGTACAGTTGAGCTAGTTGAAGCTTTATCATCAGAGATGCTAGTTAGAGACTTTACTTTATGTATATTTTTCCTCTTATCATCAAATGTTTGATGACTTTGATGACTAAACAATGTACCATATAGTTTTTCATTTTCAAGTTTTTTCTTTTCAGAACGTTCCTGTTCTTGAAGATGTTTTTGTACACGTCGTTTATGTCTACGTTGTCTTTGTGCTGAACGTAAATAACGTGCCATCAAATAGAATTTACGATGTTGTCCATCATATGTAAAATATTTTGTTGAATCATTTTGTAAATTATATAATTTTGATTGATTAAAAATTGGTAATGTTTCTATTGTTGGCATACTTTTAGGTGAAGTGAATATATAACCATTTGAATGAAATGTATTACTTAAAGTACTATTGTAAGTAGGTAATGTACCATAATGTTTATATTTCATTGTTTGATTAGATGTATACATTTGTTTAGTTAATTGTTCATATAATTGTTTAGATTCATGATAGGTATTTGAAGAACTGATATCATTGAAATTATTCGATTCAACTAATGCAGTTGTTCTACAGGATAAACTATCAATCTGATTATTAAGTGTATTATTTTGGCTGGCGACATTTTTCATTGTATTTGAATTGATTGATGAAGTTGGAATATTATGCATTAAATCAAATTCTGTTCCTTGATGGTAATTTTGAAAGAAAATATTTGGATAATTTGTATATTGATTATCTGGATTATCATCCACAAAAACTGATGTAGATTTAAATTGATTTTTATAAATTAAAGTTCTTATCATTTTTTGTAACCAACTAAAAGGTGGATGAAATAAGTCACGAAGATTATTTTTAGCTTTCTAGAATAGGAAAACAAAAAAAAACAGTAAAATAAATAAATGAATAGTAGTACAGATTGTATAATGTTTATAAGATAAATGAAAGAAGGAATCTGGTTTGAATGTTACACCATATACAATCAATTCACATAACATTCAATATCCATGTTGTTTTCATTCGAAGATGTTCAGTAAGTTAGATTATTTCCTGAACGACTTCAATAAACCTGACAGGACTAAAACTACTCTAAAAGGTTACAACCATTCTTTTGCAAGTAAAGACAAATAATTTTGTATTTTGTCACGAAATCGTATTAGCTTAACAACCGTAGTCTAATTTGAAAGAATGACTAATTGATAGTAAGATAAATGGATTTAATAAACGGTCGAAAGTAAAATAATTAAACATGGTGTTGTACATAATGTAATGAACAAAACACCGGTTGGGACAATCGAATGTATTCAGACATAAATTACAGACTATCTCACTGAACTCTGTTAACCATACAGCAAACAGATAATTTGCTCAAAAAATCGTGGATTGGTTGAAGTTAGACATTAACACCGTAGGATGACGGCTCAGTGGTCTATCGGTTAAGTGTTCTGGGGCGAGACTGATAGGTCCTGTGTTTGAATCTCGCGAGTGCGGAATCGTGGATGCGCACTGCTGAGAAGTCCCATAATAGGACGAAACGGCCGTCCAGTGCTTCCAGGTTTTTGATGGTGGTCTAGGTTCAATTGACTCATGATTTCAACTACGAAAATACTGAATTCTCCACAAAACTCCCTCTGAATTTGCAAATTGACAATCAATTGTCTCAATTTTCACTGTTCCTTCTGTAAATATCAGTTCATCTTCTCTGATTTCATTGTTCATACATTTTCATACTGATTGCGCTTCGTTTTTATTCTTACCTTATCGATCTTCTGCCAAAATACATTCTATGTCTGACCATCATCATATACTACTTATATGGATATAAGTAGACCAAATTACAATAGTACCCTTACATCAACGATTGAAATTTATAGCGTCAGTTAATTTGTGATATATTACTAACTGCATCAAATATCCTCCTTAAATTATTAGTTCGTTTCTAATTCTTTTTTTTACCTTCTATGTCACAATTTCCAGCTGTTCACTTTTTATGCAGTTCGTCTCATAGCTAATGACCACAAAATTATAAAAATAGTTTGAAAAGTTTTGGTTATTAGTGTCTTTTTTTAATACATATTAATGTCTGAAGGATTGTTAACTGAAAAATTTGTATGGATAGCTTATGTTATGATACTCATTACATGTAACTGGACGCGTTACAAATACAGGTTATTATTATTAGTAATGTAAAGTTAACCATAAGTTATAAAATATGAATTTTGTTAATAGGTATAACTGTTTTCCTATGATTATTTTAAAGGTAGTATTTTATTAAGCAATAAAAGTAAACAAATTACTGTGACTAGACTTTTTCAGTTATTATTACTGATACAGAGGCGAGACCTGATATCGACTTAGTGTGAACACATGCTGCTGGCTGAGATTTTGCTGCATTTCCTAAGGAATAAGCATACCAAATCGGTGGAATGATGTGGCTTCAATGTCTACCAGACATGTGCATATATATAAAGACTCAATTATTTTTCGATTCAATTCCTTTCGTACTCTCAATCTTCTCATTTAGGTCGCCAGTTGAGCTCGCGATTAAAAAGCATATTAACCAGTTTCAAAACGAGACAACGCAAAACATGAAAGTTTGATCACAAAATGTTGGGTTAATTCGTCTTCCATGCAACCCAATGTAACGAGGCTAAGGTATACTATATTTATCATTTTTATTTTGTGACTAGAAGTAACTGAACAATTAACGGAGGGTACAATTTCGCTATCTGGATATAAAGCGTTATCAAAAATCTAAACAATTTTTTTACCTAATTTAACACTCATATGTAGGTTTAATAACATGTAAAATGAAATCTACAAGTCATCACATACTCGAATGTTGAGACAGTTTTTTTTAATTCCAGTAAATTAGCAATTTATACTTATATCAATATAGCATGAATTACCTTATGTGGTTACTTTTTCAATGTAAACTTTTCTGGACTTTTAAAATATTGAAATTTATATTTATTACACAATTTATAATGTTTTGTAGGCTTTTGTATTTGTAATCAGTAATTTACAACTTGTGCAGTGCACGAAAACATAAGTGGAGACTAACGAATGTCTGCGAACACAAAGTAACAGAACATCTTGACGGAGAGGAGTGGTGGGACGTGCAGCTGCTGGGCGGACATCGGATGTAAATGACTCAGCAAGTGACTGGGCGCATGCGTTGAATGTCACAGTTGCCGAGTGGATATCGTATTTTGGTGGCCTGGCAGGTCGACTGGGCTATAAAGCTCAACGCGTTTCAGACCCGATATTTGACGAAGAGCGTGGCACAGAATGCAGAAAAGAAGAAAGTGTTACGGCGAACAGAACTACAGCAAGAGCGATTGCTTTAGAGGAGGGACGAGTATGGTATGTGCTGCTGGTGTCGACAGGTATCAGTAGTATGTCTCATCAATCGAAAATGAATGTTAAGAAGATCAAAGAAAATAGAATGAAAAGAGAAAATGATTGATGTGGGAATGACAGAACAATGTAGTCTGAGACGATTGACTGATATTTGCAGAAAGAACAGTCAAGTTTGAGACAATTACTAGACATTTTGCAAATAAAGAATTTACTCTATTGTTCTCAGATTTTAGTGAGATTTTCTGTAAATTTGTGTCTAAATTCTTTCGATTATCACCATTTGTGTTCTTGTTCACTACACAAGGATAATCTGTCAACTTATTCTACAGAAAAAATTAGACCTTACTTTGTATAATTGGCATAATTTAATGAAGTTATCGTCACATTGAGATATATTGAATATATCAGACAGAATTGTTTTTAAAATCAGGTTATACGCTCATGGTTTTGACTTACAAAAAAAGTATTCTTAATACTTTTGTTAGCCTTTTTAAAAAACGGTTAGCTTAATAACTGTGACACAAAATATTTGAGAAATCCTTTTTATTTGTGACGTCAAAAGCTTAATATATGTCAATTAGAATATTTCAGGAACTTATTTTACGAAAGATAAATTTACCATGCATAGATCGATAGCATTGTGCTACGACTTATCTAACAGTTACACAAATAATCTGGTTTTTTGCAGATATATTTAATTTTTATGAAAACATATTTTAGTGAACAAGAAGACGAATGAGGACAATCGAATATATTTGAGCACAAATTACAGACTATCTCACTAAGATCTGATAACCATACAGTAAACAGTGGATTTGTAAAATAACAATCAATTGTCTCAATCTTGACTATTCCTCCTACAAATATCAGTCCATCTTCTCTGATTTCATTGTTTATGTATTTTCATACTGATTGCTCTTCGTTCTTATTCTTTCTTTATCGATCTTCTGCCAAAATATCTTCTATACCTGATCATCATCATATACTACTTATGTGTATATAAGTAATCCACACCATAATATAACTGAAAATCATTAATTCACTGATAAATTATCAATATTAATTGCTATATTCATATATTTTTATTACAAGTAGTATTCAAAGTACAGTTATAATATTAATAATGATAATTCTCTCATCGACTTTTACGATATCAATGAAAAGGGCGTGTTCCTTCTGTCAGACAGAATATAAAAACATAGGAATAGAGTAACAAATTCCTTTTGTAAGAATAATATTATTTTTCAGTATGTTGTAAAAAAAATTTTCAGTCGCTAGTCGTATACTTTTATGGTTACTGTAAGATTATATCATCAGAGTATTTTATTTCCTATCAACAATACCATGATCATAAGCCTAAATATATTACTTGAATATAGTTAGCCATAAGTTGATTTATCTAATAACAAAATTGTTATGGACATAAAATTATAGGTCTATAAACAATTCAACTGATCCATAAGTAAGTCGGGATAATAGAAAAAAAATTGATTAGTAGGATCAAAAAAAATGTTAGAAAGATTTTCCTTTTCCTTATGTTACCATAGAAATTTCGGCTGGAAATAAATCTAAAACAATGATTTAAGATTGAAGAATAATTATTAAAAAAGTAATAATTTATCAGCATCACATCATTTATGAATTTGATTTTGTATGCGTCAACATGAATAGGAAAAGGTGGGTAGTGAAATTACTTACAAAGGTTGTTACTTTTGTGTAATTACATTCAAGTGATATTATAGAATTTTGAACAGAGCTCATAGTTCACTAACAAGCCTTGATTAACTTATGCACTCGATTGAACTTATCAATTGAACAGAAACAAGAACTAAAAAATTTATTGAGCTTTGTTAGTAAAGGGATCAGCCTAGTGACTAAATAGATAAATTTTTCCATTGTGACGTTTTTAATGACTCTATGCAGTAAGTTATTGATTATTCAGTGGTATATGGTATCCAGTTAAAATGTATACAAAATTTGACTAGAAATCACTGTAAAACAAACATCAACCAACTTTAGACAAAATTTATTTATATCAGTTGTTTGTTTAGGAAAGATTCACACAACTAACAAAAATGAACTAAATTTTACATCATTGTACCAGTCAATGGCTGCCTGGACTCAAGAGCTAAATGGACAACGTGATGGCATTTAGAGCGAACGGTACTGGATTCTATTTCCGTAGTGAACATCAACTCTGGGATACTAGATTCCACTGTTATCCACCATCCATTTCTGTTTGTAATTTTTGGTTTCAAATCATATCAAACGTATTCAGCTTCTCAATTCTGTTGAACTGTTGGTTCGTATGTGAGATTTAAACTAAAACAACATTTAAATAAATCAGAGGAGAACCCAATCGCCTATAATTTATTTGTGAACTTCAAGTTCTCGATCACCTTTTGTTTTTGAACAACAGTTTATAGTCTTCATCTAGTAGACTCCATAATTAAATAATGATATATCATTCAATGAGAAAAAAGGGTTTGAAATATCTAGT